CAGGTCCATCCTGGGAAAGCTACTTCCTACTGCACGGCCTGCTTTTTTATTTTCACAGATGTACAAGAAGCACAGCCAAAATTTTGATTCCAAAGGTCCTGGCTTTGATACCCGCGCAGAAACCCCAACTCGGTGTGATCAGGAGACATAGATAAAACATGTTATTGCCATGCCCAGCCCAGTTTCTCAGGGCTGTTGCTGTCAAACTCCTGCACTTGACTTGATTCTGCTCTTTGAGCCCAGTGGCTTATGGATTTCAATCTGCAGGTCTGACATCTGAAGACGGCACACGGGACCATTGGGGATGACCCTGCTTGGAGCAGGGGTTGGACTAGATGACCACCTGAGGTCCATTCCAACCCTCATTTTCTACGATGCTATAATTCTATGACTCCTGCTAACATGTGACCACTAGGCTTGCAGATTTATGATCAGGATTGTCTCCTTTCAGGTCACCTATTCGCACCTCTGGAACCAAACAGCCTGTGGGATCTGGGTCATCACGTAAGGACTCTTGCCTTCCTCCTTTGCACAAGGCAAGCTACGGCAGAGGCAGTACTTCAGAATCAAAATCAGAACTAGCATGTGTAGCTGCTGCTTCCCTGACCTCCTCCTGCACGCACCATGTCTAAACCTAGCCCAGAACCTCATACACCGAGCACAGAGCTGACTCCGATCTCGCACCACCTTTCCCAGAACGGGAGCTCACCTCCCACAAAGCTGCCCCAAAAGATGCAGAGCTAAATACTCACTGCGCCCTAGGTTGGTGGCCACATGCTGAAGTACTTCTATCTGCTTGATGGCTTCCCTACGGGTGAAGTGAACAACCAGCACCCAGTAGCCTGAAGAGAGATCTTGCAGCCTGAGGAAACAAACCCAGAGGATGGTTAAGGAAGAGCTGCTTGCAGACCTTGAAGCAAATTAGTCATTGCCTGCACTGGGTGGTGGAAGAGTTTCTACATGGCTCTTACTGGAAATCACCCATCCCTCAGTGTCATTACAGAAGCACTACCCAGGCCGTCTCTGCAGAAGCTGAGATAATACAGGTTTAGGGGGCCTTCCCAGTTTTTAAAGGCTTTTTGAAAACACAAGCACTTGGTTCAGAATAGAAAGCAGGGGAGAGAAGGAAAGAAAAGCAGAAGTGCAAGGAGAGAGACTTTGAAATAAGAGAGGAAGAGAAAACAAGGAAGAGGCTGAGAGGGAGGAAATCAACAGTTAAGGATCTAATATCAATGCCCTGACGTGGTTTTGCTAGGTAGGATTACGTGGGACACGGGGTTTGGAAGCAGGTGATCAAACCATGCTTTCTGGGATCCTGGCCCAGCCCATCACCCCCAGCTCTGCAACTGTAAGTCCCAGGCAGCTGGAACGTGCTGTGCGCAGGCTGAGCTCACCCATAAAGCAGAGCATGGTCTAGGTGCTCGCAGAGCCGTTGCAGGACTTTGTCGTGGTTCCTAATTGCTGGGGTCTCATCCTCACAGGCTGCAAAGTAACTCTGCAGCTGAAAGTACAAAGCACAGAAACAATCCAGTTAGTAGAAGAAGGAACCCCTCAAGCTTGATCCAACAGTAGTCCAATATGCAGGTCCATCTTCCACCTTCCTACAGTGACTCACCCTGACCTAAGGAAACAAGGTCTTTAATTCAGTGTCACGTGAAGAACTGGGGTAAAACTACTCTTTCATGGACGTTGCAGGCCCTCGCACTCTATCATCCCACGAGTCCTTCCTTACAGGTCTACCAGGTTGGGCTTTTGGGTTTCAACATTGTCCCTTGACTTTTGCCGTCAGCTTGCTGCACATGCTGGACAAACAGGTCTGTACCCACATGTGTTTGGCCGCTGGTTACCCAAGACACACTGATGACATTCCTTGGGTCAGAGCTGTGCTATTACAGGGGAGGAGTTTTGACAGCTGTTATATTTTCTTTTTTACTGTTGCACATTTCCAGGGATTAAATCAAATGGCCAATTATGTCCTAATACTTATGCCTATGCTTTGGACACTAACCCTTCATTTCATAGCCATCATCAGCTTCTGAAAAGGCAAGGCAATCTTGATCCTTGTTTGACTCAAAGTGCTGAACAGACAGCATTTGTAATGGCTCTGTGTTAGAAACAGCAGCAATTCATCCTGGATACAAGGCTGCTGAGCTGACACATCCCAGATGGGTGCCTGAGTGTATGTGGGCATCATGTCTCTTTTGGTCTTTGCTGAAATTTTCCCCTCTGTTTTTTCCAACTATGCACTGTTTCAGTGAGCAAGGAAACCATGTTGCCATGGGTGTGGGGAGAGCCGTGCGTGGCACAATCCATTTGCACCATGGCTTATGAAACACTGGTGGGTAGGTAATAGTTCCCATTGCTGTGCACGTGCAACGAAACGCATTAAACACCTGTTCCAATGCAACACAAGACATGCAATACGACTTCTGTCCAAATGTGTCTCTAAAAACATGGCACAGTATAAATCATCTTTTCTGTTCACAACTGCCTGGGCTTTGATGTTAGGAAATGCCGGGGATCTGGAGAACACAGTTCAATTCCTGGCTCTAACACTGACTTACCAGAAGATCCCTGGCAAATTACAGCCCCTGTGCCCCACCTGTAAAATGGGGATACTTAGGTACTGCACAATGGGACTGAAGTCTAATGTTTAGCATCCCAGTACTGTGAAAGCACGCAGCATTAGCATTATTACCTAGCTGTGATGGGCATGTATTAAGGTAACAAAGGTCCTAATTAGAGGCACCAAACAGTAAGCCTCAGCTTGATTTAAGTGACTATGTCCCAGCTGCCTAAGGGAGGACGCTTTTGTGTCTTTTGTGGGAGCAAAGAGATGGAGTTTGTTCCCAGCTCTGCTGTGCAACCTTGCTTAAGTCACTTAAGACAAGGCTAGACAATCACCTTGCTGGGGTCGCTTGACCCCAGTACTCTTTCCTGCCATGGCAGGGGTCAGACTTGATGATCTGCTCAGGTCCCTTCCGACCCTACTAACTATGAAACTTGCCTGCATTTCCCAGGCTGTAAAGCTTGTGATGCTATCAGCACTCCTAAACTTTTATCAGTCTAAGTTAGCTCTGCGCCAAGGAGCTTCAAGAGGCAGGCAGCTTCTCCAGGCAGCTGCCGCCTTCCTTTGCCCTTCCTGCACAAAGCTCCCGTTCTGGAGGAGCTGCTTGATCACAGAACTGCCATGGAATGAGACTAGTTCTGATACCAGATGTGATGGCCTCGTGTCAACATCTGGACCCACTTCGGTCTGCACATGCAAGTCCTCCGCTGGATCATCTATCCACTTTTAACGGAGCAGAGCTGACACGCATGTTCTTGCAGATGTAAGCACCTTGCGAGAGAATATGTTTGAGGTTCATCCTCTCATGTCAAGAGGCATCTCCATAATGCGTCTCCTCAGCTCCCCATGCACAGCAGCGCACACGTGGAAGGTTGCCTGGGGGGGTCTCCAAGTGTAGCACTGGGCTCAGCACAAGCCCTTCCACGTCTACTGCTGGGCACCCTTGCCCCAGTGGTCGATGATATGTTGGGTTCCCATTAGGGACAGACTTGGGGGGAAGAGGGTATAAACTGCAACATGATGACAGTTTACAGCTTACCAAACCAGTTCTAAATTATGAAAACCACAGCTCAGCATGCCATTCCTGCCTCTGCCACTGACTCACTGCATGGCCTTGAGCATCTCGTCTCCCCACCCTGTTTCAACGTCCCAGTCTATAAAATGGAAATGAGCCCACCTGCGGCACAGGCTCCATTTGCATTCATAAAAAGACACTCGGAGACTGTCAGATGAAAGGAACTAGCTGAAGATGAAGTATCACTACTGGCCATAAACACCCTTTGCTAAATCAAATCCAATTTAGCTATGCTTGCATAATTAGTAGCTAAATGACCAGTGGATCAAATAGGGCAATGTTAACACCTAGAGCCTAAACCACTAGAGTTAAGACCATGACTAGTTTTTAGTTCCTCTTAACATGCCTAAATGATATAACACACATTATATCCATTGAGATCAGAAGTGCTGGCATTATGAGGCCTGCAAAAGAAAGGCAAGATCAGGTAGAAGCAGCTCTTCTTTCCTGCTGTGGGCTGAGGTCAGACATTTTGATATTTGCTCTCTCAGGTACAAGCTCAGGCACATCTCACCCCATGCGGACTTGCTGATTAGATCTCAGACAGCACTATATGGAATTGGGTTTATAAAAAAAGCCCTCAGCCACTTGGCTCCATTTCCATCAAATCAGACAGAACGGCCTGAAAACACATCATTAGTGTTTCTCACCCCACTTGCGTCCAGTCCAGAGCAGTAAGAAAGGCAGGGTCAGGCAGCACATTGCTGGGATGGGAGCACAGACCAGCAGATGCTAAGGGAAGCAGTGCTCTGCCCCAGCCACAGCATCCCAGCAGTAGCTCCCCGACCTCACTCCTCAAAGAGGACCTGAGAGGCCTTCTTATTTACTTCTCGCAAATAAATTATTTTTCTACCTTTGGCAAAATACTCAGCAGAAACACTAGAAACCCCCTCTGATCGAAATCCTAATGCCTTTACACACCGACTTGTCAGTCTGGCACATGCTCTTACACATGCTCTCCACTCATGCTCCACCAATCCTTGTTGTCATCCTAGTCGGAGGCTCCAAAATACCTATGCTGGGTAGCAAGGGAACATATGATTTACACAACAATGGCCCAGTAATTAAATGACCCAGTAGGTCTTTGCGAGCCTCCATTAGCAATAATGCACCTGTAAAAATGCCATGCAAGGAATGCCATGTTTTACAGATGTTTGGTGGCACCCCTGCCATCTCTCACTCATTTCACCAGGCTTCATCTGAAGTGCTGCCAGAGAAGAAGACATAAGGTTCAAAGTCTGACCAGCTCACCTTGACTTGAAAACATCAACAAACACCCTGGCTAGGAAACTGGTTATTGGGATTAAGAGGCATAACACTGGCCAGCCTTGGGACCTGGGAAATTCAAGTGCAATCAACTGCAAATGCTGTTTCTCCTACCTGAGCAGCCCTCTCGGAGACCCAGCATCCAGTGTCTTCAGGCTGCCCTGACGCCTGGCTCTGACTAATCGAAAGGGATCTCTTCTGCGAGGAGCTGTCTGCCGGACAAGCAGAAACCGCTGGTTTTTCCCTGCGGATCACTGGCCCAACTTCAGACCCACACTTGGAAAAGATTTCCAGGTCAGAAAGCATCCATACTGATCCACTCCAGTGTTTGAAACCCTCACAGCTTTTGAGCTAACGATGGACGTGGAAATGCCCATTATTCCGATTAGTGCCTTCCTTCCGCGTTGACACAGACAGTTGGGGACAGATTTTGGGAGAGGCCTCAGTGCAACCTGCTTGGTTTTCTACAAGCATCTACGCCTGCCTTTCAGACACGGAAGCAGCCTAACTCAAACTGAGCGAAAGATGGAGGAGCCGATTTTGAAATGCCGGCCCTAAAACCCTGAATCCACAATGCGGGAATACCCTGAATTCAGAGCTTTCCAAAGGCAAAAAGCATTAGTTGCTGATACTTCACAAGACAGCAGGCTACAAATCCATGTGGCATCCTACGATCTAATTTTTTTTAGCTCTAGCCCAGGACCGAGTCTAGTGACATGCAGCTTCCCACGCAGGCCTGGATTCTGCTTCCAGTCCCACGGCTGTAAATGAGGGTCGCTCCGATCAAGCCAATGCATCTCACATAGACTCACAGTGGGACAACAGAGCAGGATCTGGTTCTTGGTCCTTTAAGGATGCTTGTGTTTGCGTGCAAGGCACAGGCAGGAACAAATGCCAGGCTCTCCAGACCTGATCTGGGACTCAGCCTGTAACCAAGACAAAGCCAAGGAAGAGAGTCCTGCCCAGCCAGGGAGCAGCGGCTCCTTTGCAAGCAGATCCCACCCAGGGAGCCCAGCCCCTACAGAGCAGAGAGCAACCAAGCCTGGCGTGACCGGTTCAGCCTAAGAGAGGGAGCGGAGTTGCCCTCCCCAAGTCTCCTGCCTGTGTCTGCACCACTGCCCGATCTAGATGGCCAGTTCCTGGGGGAAGCGCACATGCCTTGCCTTCTCCTTTGTGCCCTACACTGAGCTCTCAAAAATAAATGCAAATGCCCTTTCCCAGTCCCACTTGTGTGTTCCCCAGGTGATCTGCAGACTCTGTGATACACCCAGGTGGATCAGATGCCTTCTAATGCAGCTGTTCTCCTTTCATCTGCAATGAGCTTTCCGCGGGACTGGCTCCACAGGCACTATGGCTATTACTTATGTATAAGCCTTCTCCATTAAAACATGGATCAAAGCTTTCTGATTACATTAAAAAAACAGTAAATCAGAAAGTTCTGGCTTCCTTGGAAATATGGATGGTAAATATGATCGATCTTGGAAGCTGTGGTCTGGAAACTAAACCATTGGACCCCCTGGAACTAATACCCTTCATCTAGCTATTCTTCCATCTCCTTCTCCCTTTCACACACAGTTCATCATACTTACCC